TGGGTCTCGCTGCAGACCTGCTTGCATTACTTATTCATTTTGCACTGCGGAGTGAAATCCTCGTCCAAACAGAACGATAAGCATCCGTGCTGTCTCCAGCCCCAGGACCCCACGCTGAGGGCTCTTCTGCCCAAATCTGAGTGGCCCCCAGGGCAGGAGGCTTTGGCAGCGCTGAGTACCTGAGCCACTCAACTGTAATGAAGATTCTGCGGCTAAGCACACAGAAATCACTCAGAAACGGCCGTAACCGGCACCCTCCTTCCCCTCGAGCTCCGCAAACAGGCCGGGTATTTTCGCTCGACCTTAGCAACGTCACGCTCGCATGCACTGAAATCTCAGGAAGAAAAAAATACGCAATATTTCCCCAGAAGGATTTTGTTCATGCGGCTGATTCAACAGCTTAGCAAGGCTCTGAGCCAAATTATTTAAGCTACGTGCTATGTGCTAGCCACATAATATTTCTTTACTCAGCCACAGTTTACAGGCTGCTGCAGTATGCATGTGTTGAACATCAAAAAGAAAGCTGCCTCCCCCAAGACAGCACTTTTCCCTTTGAGTTCAGGCAGGCCATGCAGCTTACATGAGATTGTATATACACTTTATGTCCGAAAGTCTGTAGATACCTGCCCTGCCAATGTTTCTTCTGAAGTCAAGGGAGTTCGCTGCAGTAACAGCCTCTACTCTTCTGGAAGGGCTTTACGCTAGATGTTGGAACATTGCTGTGAGTGTTTGATTGCATTCAGCCACAAGAGCATTAGTGAGGTCAGGTATTGATGTTGGATGACTTCAGGCCCTGACGGTTACTAATGACAGCCTTCGTAATGGCCTTGTGACCCTCTTAACCTAGGACCACTCTGTGACCGGCTAGTGACCTTCCCCATGTCTCATTCCTGAAAGAAGGATAGGTTATAGTCTATATATATATATATATATATATATATATATATATATACTCAATGTTTTAAAAATATGTCTGCACACTCTAACAGATGTAAATTATATTTTTGTATAGACAGGAATTTGGACATATTTGGACATATTTGTCAGAAATAATACCAAAGTTTAAGATTCTGGGCTCTAAATATATACGTATCAATTTATATAGGTATTTTATTATGATTATTAAGATACTATTGTGCAGACAGCCTTGTTTTGTGATGAAAAATAAAAATGTTCGTGCTAAAACAGGAGAAATAATCAAGAAATAAGTACTGACTTTCATTTCTAAACTAAGCTGATGACATTAATACTAATTAAGCTGGATTCTCTGAATGAACAAAAACATAAAAATAAAAAAATAATTCTGAATGAAAAACCAAACAATATCTGCAGTGTTCTCTGAGGTAGCTATGTGAGTGACGCTTCACTTTTTAACTGGCTAAATCCATTGTCAGTGTCACACAATGTTGCTTCTAGGCAACAAACTTATGATTGCAATTTCTGTTAACATAAAAAAGACTTATGATACTGAATGTTTTAAAAATATGACTTGTGAATTATATTTTTGTATGGATGGAAAATTGGACATATTTGGACATATTGGTCAGAAATAATGTCAAAGTTTAATATTCCAGGCTCTAAATCTATGCCTATCAATCTATATAGGCATTTTATTATGATTATTAAGATGTTATTGTGCAGACAGCCTTGTTTTGTGGGGAGAAATAAAAACGTTCATGCTAAAATATGAGAAATAATCAAGTTATTTAATGAAACAGTAGCTGCAGTGTTTTCTGAGGTGGCTAAATAAGTGAAGCTTCATTCGTGACAGGCTAAATCCATTGTCAGTGTCACACAATGTTGCTTCTAGGCAACAAACATATTTCTGCAGTTTCTCATAACATAAAAATGACTTATGACACTGAATGTTTTAAAAAGTTGGCTTCAGACTCTACCAGTTGTCAATTACACTTTTGGATGGATGCTGAAAATTGCTTTTCTAAGGGAAGTTGTCCAGTGCACAAATGTGTTTCATCCACAAGCTGCACCGTGCCAAAAAAAGGGTTTTAAAATGCCCATCAAGAGACAGTGTGACCAGACTTTTTATTCAGACTCATCACTTCATTATTACCCCTTTCATTGTCATTAAATATATATTACGTCATTGTAAAGTGAGGAGAATCTGTTTGTTGCCCTGAGGCAACATTACCTCATTTGCTAATTAGAGTTCACTAATTAGAAAATCCTTTTGCACATATAGCGACCACAAGGCAGAAATGCAGGAAGGCATTTTTACTCTTTTCTATGCTAAATGCCTTTTCACAAAGCCCAAAGCTGTACACCACAGTGTGGATTGATCTTCTGTTGAACAGTGTGCGTTTTATCTTGATTAATATAGGTTAATCCTGTGCAGAAAAATGGAGTTTTACGTCTGGACGCCTCAGAGAAAAGGCTTTAATCATCACGTATAATAATCACGCGATTATTGTACGTGATTATGGCGCACTCTTAGGGCACAGCCCGCTTCTTCAGTCATACATATTTCATGCTGCGGTGTTACAGCATGAAGACGAATGCAGACGTGCTCTCATGTGCTCAGGATTCGGGGGCTGGCAGTAATCCCTTTGTGTCCACTAATATGAAAATCTACAGGGATTATGGGAAGAGGGGGGAGGAGGGTTGTTTTTCTTCCTGAGCCCTCCAACCTAATCTTTTAATCATAACTCCACATCTTGTATGTTTACTATTATTCTGCAGCCATATTTGTTATTGTTATTGTTTTGTCCAGGAGATAAATAACAAAATTACAATAATAGGCATCATAAAAAACAAACAACAGCAGCAATACTACTACTACTACTAGTGATAATAATAATAATAACAATAATAATAATAACAGTTTTTATACTGTTATTGATCAACACTGCATTACTATATTATGTATAAACTCTACATAAATAACTGTATAGACAGAAACGCTGCTTCTGCGTTTTTGTACCTGCTCTGTCAAAATCATTATGACGAGTCACTGAGCTTCGTTTCTGCTCAGTGATTCACTCAAACACTCAGGAACCTGTGCTGCTGTGGATGAACTGGGTTTCTATTTTCCCCACATTTATTCCAACAAGCCACGCCCCCCTCAACTGCGATTGGTTAATAGTTCAAAATCACAAGTACAGCAAGAAATTTGTGGTCAATAAATTACAAACTTACAAAGTCAGTCCCAGTGCTGGAGGGCGGGGCTTTAAGATTCTAGGACTGCTAGTGAGTATAACCCAGTCCCAGGGGCGGGGCTACGACTGCTTATGTGTTTGAAGTATTAGCTTGTCCTAGCATGAGGGCGGGGCTTTAGCAGTCTAGAGTGGTTCAGTGTTTGTGAGCATGAATTACTGACCAATGACGGTGTAGGAAGGCGGGGCTTTAGTGTCTTAGAATGGCGCTGTTTGTGAGTATGAATTTTTGACCAATCATAATGAAGCAGGGCGGGGCTTTAGCATTGGCGCTGTTTGTGAATATGAGCTACTGGCCAATGGTGGCGCAGGAGGGCGGAGCTTTAGTGTTTTAGAACAGGGCTGTTTATAAGTATAAACTACTGAGAAATAATAGCGAAAGAGGGCGGGGCTCTAGCATTTTTAGAATGGTACTGTTTGTGAGTGTGAACTACCGACCAATCATAGTGAAGAAGGGCGGGGCTCTAGCATTTTTTAGAATGTTGCTGTTTGCAAGTATGAATTTTGGCCAATCATAGCAAAGGAGGGTGGGGCTTTAGCATTGGCCCTGTTTGTGAGTATGAACTACTGGCCAGTGATAGCGCAGGAGGGCGGAGCTTTAACATTTAAGACATTGCTGTTTGTGAGTATGAACTACTAGCCAGTCCTAGTGCAGGAAGGCGGAGCTTTAGTGTTTTGAAAAGCACTGTTTGGGGGTATAACATACTGGCCAATGATAGTGCAGGAGGGCGGAGCTTTAGTGTTTTGAAAAGCACTGTTTGAGGGTATAACATACTGGCCAATGATAGTGCAGGAGGGCGGAGCTTTAGTGTTTTAGAACAAGTCTGTTTATAAGTATAAGCTACTGAGCAATCACAGGGAAAGAGGGCGGGGCTTTAGCAGTTTTTTAGAATGGTACTGTTTGGGAGTGTGAACTACTGCCCAATCATGGCGAAGAAAGGCGGGGCTTGGTACTGTTTGTGTGTATAAACTACTGGTCAGTGGTGGCTTAGGAGGGCGGGGCTTTAGTGTCTTAGAATGATGCTGTTCGCAAGTATGAATTTTGGCCAATCATAGCGAAGGAGGGCGGGGCTTTAACATTGGTGCAGTTTGTGAGTATGAGCTACTGGCCAATGGTGGCGTAGGAGGGCGGGGCTTCAGCATTTCAGACAGAACTGTTTGAGGGCATGAACTACTGGCCAGTCCTAGTGCATGTGGGCGGAGCTTTAGTGTTTTAGAAAGGCACTGTTTGAGAGTATGAACTACTGACCAGAGGTAGCGCAGGAGGGCGGGGCTTAAGCGTTGTGAAGATGAACTACTGGTCAGTCCTATTGCATGGGGCGGAGCTTCAGTGTTCAAAAGGCACTGTTTATAATTATGGTTGTGCTACTGGGGGTTTTCACAAAACAGGATTTCTCAGTTTAGCTGGAAAACTCAGTCCAATGTTTAGCCTGCCCAAGAGGAAAAGAGCTGAGGGAGGTGCCCGTTGGCCAGTCCTCATCTTTGGGATTAAGTCATTTGGCTAACCGGGAAACCCTTTGTGAAATACCCCTCTCTGGCCATTTGCAGCGCAGGGAAGTGTTATGGTCCAGTTTGTGAGTACGAACAACTGGCCAATCAGCAGGGCAGGGCAGGGCTTAGGCGTTTTAAAACAGCACTGTTTGTGAGAATAACCACTGGCCAACCGCAGCGCAGGAGGGCGGGGCTTTAGCGCTTTAGAACTGCGCTGTTTTTGCGAACGTACTACTGGCCAATCCTAGCGCAGGGGGCGGGGCTTGTGGGGTGCGGGTGGAGCGAGAGAGAGAGAGAGAGAGAGAGTTGTGCTGTGTAAACTGACACCATCGCGTCTCTCCGTTTTTTTTCTCGCCGTTTGGAGCGCAGAGCGTGCGGAGGAGCACAGGCAGCAGCTGAAGCGTCCCTTCGTTCGCTGCGATGCGGGAATAAACACAGAAATCCGGCCGAAGAGCGCAGTAACAGCGGCGGTCAGCGGGAAGAAACTCTGTCGTTTTCAGCCCAGTGTTTTGTTGCGGACGAAATAAAGGCTGTTTGGCGTGGAGGAGCGGTGCCTGCGTCAGGGTAAGTTAGCCAACATGTATCAGACCGCATTTCACACATCATAAATGCAAGCAAATCTTCCTCCTCATCACATAAAGCCTTCTCATTTCTGCCTTTATTTCACTCTCAGAGGAGGCAGTGGATGGAGTAGGGCAGGGTTTGATATCTGATCCTGTCATTAACTCAGCCACTCGGGCTCTCCAACTGTTGCCTTGACTGTTTGGGTCCGAGTTTGGTTTATTATTTTTTTTCCGTTTATCCTTTGATTTTCCTCCGTTCCTGATGAAAGTGAGCGAGTTCTTCACTCGCTTCTTCAGCAACAAAGTGCTGGACGCAAAGCAAATCTGCACAGCCTGCGTAAAAAAGGCAGAGAAATGCAGCACGCAGGCACTGCGATGCTCTCGCAGCTCTCGCAGGAGTGCTGTGAGTTGTGAAAGGGGGAAAATAGAGCCACAACTTCTCTGATTTTCACCAAAAACAGCGAGAAATGTTTCCATTTTTCCAAAGAAACTGCACCTGGCAGCTGTACAGAGTGGTGCACTGGTGCAGAATAAGGGAACCTAATGGAAATGACAGCAGTTTTGACTGTTTCTGCCTCTGAAAGTGGTATGATTTGTGTTGCCTTCAGAGAAAATCCATGCAATATGGTTGGGCTTTTTGGGTCCGGTGGTTGACTTGGTGGTCAGCAGCTGCTGCTTGTGGAGATGCGACTCATCAGGGATCCAAAGGGAGGAAAAAAAGTACTTTGTTTTCTTGCTTTCTTTGGACTGTAATGAAATAAGTGGCAGCTGCAGGCGGATTATTATGGTGATCAATGTTGGCGCTTCTCTGGACTGGACTGGACTGGACACTGTGTTTTCTAAGGGGTTTGGCCAGGATGGTTCATAAAACAGGGGTTTAGGGAAAAGAGAGAGAGAGAGAGAGAGAGAGTATATGTGAGTGCGCTCCCACACAACACACTTGGGGGGGGGGTGTGCATCCTCAGACAAAAGTGTTGTTGTAGCCAAGAACAATGTATTGTTGGTAATATAGAGCATTGATTCACACTGGTACCGGACATGAGACTGCAAGAAAACGTCATGTTCCACTCTGTCAGTGCTGCCGCTTAACGGACAGGGCTGACGAGAAGCAGAGCTGTGGCGACGGACCAAGTGCACTGCAATCCAGTGCCTTATCAGCCCAAATTCACTTTAATAGCGCTACTAATAATACAACTGTGTTTTTTCAAGCTGCTTTACATAGCATTGACAAGAGCGCAACAGTAAACCACAGAGACAACAGTGAGAAACAACACTAATAAGGCAATAAATGCAAAATAGACGCAAAGCAAAATGCAGGAGAGCCTCAAACAAATAAATATTAACAGGTTACACCAAACAGTAATGACCAGTCATAGGGAAATACTGTGGACAGTGAGGTGGAGAATACAGAGTAATACTAGTCTAAAGAGAAAGGGAAGGTTTTCAACTACAGATGCAGTGATCCGATACCAGCTATCAGCAGAAAATGCAGAGGGAAGAAAAGAATAGTCCATTTGAGTGAAGTTTTTACCGCAAAACACGTTGTATCCGTATCGGCCGATGCTCAAGCTTTCAATAGCTGTGCTGGAAAAGAAAAAGTGGTATTGTTCCATCTGGAGAAACAACACTAAGAAGGAAATAAATGCAAACCAAAAAGCAGGAGAGCCTAAAACAAATAAATATTAATGGGTCACACTGAACAGTAATGACCAATCAAAGGGAAATGAGCCATGTTGTGGACAATGAGGTGGAAAATAGAGAGAAAATACTAGTCTAAAGAGAGAAAGGAAGGTTTTCAGTTTAATAGAAGGATTAGAAGACAACTAGAGATGTGCTGATCTGATACCAGGTACCAGCAGAAAATGTGGAGTGGAAAAACGAATGAATCAGAGTAGTTTGAGTGTGATTGCCTACTTTCAGATCTCAGTTTAAGAAAAACAGAAGTTTTTACGCCAAAAAATTATGGTATCTGTCTTGGCCGATGCTCAATGTTTCAATATCAGTACTGGAAAAGAAGACGTTCCATTATGTCATCTCAAATAAAAGTGATATCAATGTCAAATAAATGGAAAACAAGAGAACAAATGCAACCCAAACCTGGTAGAACCTCAAACGAGTAAACATAAATGGGTCACTACAAACGTGAATGGCCAGTCGTTGAGAAGCAAGCCGTACAGTGGACACTACTTTCTTAAAAATGCAGGTTTCTGAACAGTTCTTGGCTTAGGATTCTAGAAAAAACCTTCAATTAATATAAAACCTTTCCATATAATGGAGTTTCTTAATCTTCTAAAAAGGTTCTTCATATTCTGATGTCTCACTTCAGAACCATCCATCGAAAGGTTCCTCAGTTCCTCCTTCTTCACTGCTCCATTGGTAGCTTTAGTTTTTAGAGTGTGCACTCTGAGCAGAAATGGTTCTATATAGTACCTAAAAAGGTTCTATGACTTGTAACATCTCTTCTTAGTGTTATAGAACCATTTTTAAAAGGTTTTTAGAGAACCAGATACTTGTTTTCTGTCATAAAGAAAGACCATTTAACCATGCATTCATGTGGTTCTTTGAGCTGTAACCCTTGAAGGACTGCTTTTTATGGGCATACGAGGGGAAAACTAGTCTAGAGAGAAAGAGAACGTTTTCATCTCGGATACAAAGGAGAGAAAAAGAATGGGCAGTCATTGATACGTTGGGTCTACAATTGAATGAGTGAAATAATACTGTAGCCATAAAGATCCAGGTCAGAGAGTGGACACTGTGAAGTGGAAACTAGAGAATAGTACTGGGCATAAAAGGAAGGTCTGAAAAGAAGAATAACAGTCAAGATGAACAGTCATGGTTGTATTGTGGTAAAGAGGTTCAGAGGTTGGCACTGTGTTGTATTATAGAGGCTAATAAAATCACTTACTGCGATTTAATTGACCTGAGTGGGTCAGGGACCGGCTGGTGGTTAAAGTATGGTCCAGAAAAGAGTGTATCTGAGGAACATGCCAGAAAAATAGGTTCTCCAGTGTCAGAGTAGTAAAGGGTTAAAGCTTTGGTTAGGCTAAAATCAAATGTACCATTTTCCAGAAATGTAACTGAGACATACTTGCTACTGTGGTTTTGCACTGGAGCTACAAGGCTAATGGAAAACTATGAATTACCATCGTGCTATACATGCCTAAATCATCACATGCTGGCCTCAAACTGTGTGGAGTTGTCTAGTAATCTCTAATAGACTTGCTTATGTGGTTTCTGACACACTATGACACTGTTTTCTATAAAAAGTGAAACAAAAAGAACATCACGCAGCTAAAAACAGAAGTAGCAGCCTGGATTTGTCTGTTTCATACATAACAGCATGTCACAGTCCAGATGAGCAATTTTTAAACTGTGTAAATTCGAGTTTTTCTGCCAAACTGTCACTTTAAATACAGTTAACAGGACGCAGGGGCTCACACTCTGCCCCTTTTCAAGCCCAGATGTTCGGCCTTCCATTGAGAGTCAAATTTGGCTCCTACAGGGTTGATCTCCTCATTGTCCGAGCACAATGGACTCACATCCTTCCTCGGCCCACACCATCAAGCGCTCACACGCGCATTCACAGTGGCCCTGGCAGGATAAATTTAAAATGACAAGGGACGGATAAATTAGCATTCGCATTTGTCCCGGAATACCCAGTGTTTAGTTTTCCTGACCGACTCCAAGGCCGGACCTTTTGCACCAGACGGTTTCAAAAAAAGAGTCGTAGAATTAAAGGCAGAATTACAGACGGCGTTTCACCCACTAAACGACCAAAACTAAAGAGCTGGAGTTTGAATTCGACTGTGCATCGGCCAGCCATACAAATTAGCCCTTGCTTCATTGCTGTTGTATTTCGGTTGTTTTTCTTTTACGACCGTCGGGTGCCGGTGTTTAAATCTGTGCTCGTATGTACTTGTGTCATGTAGATGATGTTACCATTGCCCAATAAAAATGCCACACAAACTATAAGGGCCAAAGCACATCAACATAACTACATTGCTTACATATTAGATTCATAGTAGTTACCAAATTGTTTCTGGTTCTGTCTTCTAATTAGTGAATTCAGCTGATACAGGCACACTCAGCTTTTCTAACCTCCATAGAAAAGCATTGACCAACAGAATGGGACACGCTGCAGCAGCTGCACATAAGCCTGAGGTATCCATGCTCAATGGCAAGCATGGGCTAAAAGGGTGCAAAGCCCCCCCCAGCTTTGGTCTGTGGAGCAACCGCATTCTCTAAAGTGATGGAGCTCCATCCAGTATCTTTGGGATGAGTTGAAGTGATCCAGAACTGACCTTCCAACATCAGTACCTGACCTCACTATTACTCAATCAAATCCTCACAGCAATGTTCCAGCATCTAGTAAGCCCTTCCCAGAAGAGTAGAGGCTGTCGCTGCAGCAAACTCCCCATTTATACCATTGATTTCAGAAGAAATACTGAAAGAGCAGGTGTCCACAAACTTTTGGCCATATAACATATAGTAGTTATAAAGTAGTTTTAAGATTAATAACTAAATGATAAGCTTACAGTTTATGAAGGTAAGGCCTTTAAGAGTTAGGGGGTCAGAATGGACCTTCGAGTGCTAACGTTTCAATTAAGGACGTGCACTTAGACCAGTTTTGATATTCGAGTAGCCATAAGGGTTCATGAATATAGGACTGTAGGCTTATCTTTTTAAGTGAAAAACATTTTTTATTTTTTAAAAATAGCAGATGGAAGTTGGTAGCTTTTCGTGCTGAGTAACGAGGCTGCATCTTCAGATGAGCTAAGCTAACAGAGCTACTGGTAAAGCCCTGCTTAATGATGAGGACTTGTTGTCTTTTTAAACATGGAACTATAATTTCATTGTGTTTGGGCCTAGCTAACACTATAGCTCAAGTAATTTAGTTAGCCTAATTAGCGAAAAAGCTACACCAGAGCTGATTATGCTATCTGGTCACTTCTGTAACCATGTTTCCTTGGCAATGGCCTCAAGTTTAGACACCTGTTTTGG